GCCCGGGTCTTTTTTTTCAACTTTTTTTCTTTTCCTAGGCTGGGGCTGGGTGTTTTGGGGAGGTTTGGGGTGGGGGTGGGGGGTGGGGGGTCGGGGCCTCGGGGGATAACAAGAAAGCAAAAAAAAAATAGACATCGAACCAGGCCCATCCCGTCCCGGCTCGGTTAGGCCCGAACCCGGTATCAACCCGGGCTGGTTCCGGGCCCATGAATTTGAAAAAAAATAGCCCGCCTGGGCCCGGCCCGGAACCGGAACCGGACCGGCCCGGTTCCATCCCTACTTAAAGGATCAACTAGTTTTGTTTCATGTATTAATTATTACTAGAATCAATCGATTAATACGTTTCTTATTAATTCGGTTCTTTCAACGATAGTAAACTTGAATTATTAATGCATGCGTCTTATGGTTAATAATCTAAGGGGAACTAATTATATTGATTAAACAAATAAACCGCTTGTGTTGAGGTTATCAATCTCAATCGTTTTCATCTTAAGTTTATTGCTACTATTGGGTTAATATACATCACGTGTTCGATATGACTCGGTAGTAAGTTTTATTAATTAACGCGTCTCGTTATTAATAACTACCCTCGATGAAATGGAGATATTCCTCGATTGAGTATTTGAGAGGAAGATAGTTAAAGATATAATCGAGATCGACGAACATTTCATTAAGTGGATAAAAGCAAAGCCAAGTCCTCATCTCAGTTTAGTAAAACACATAAGTCGTTCAGCTTAGTGTTTAAATACTTTAAAGTTCATCAATCAATTTAAACCCCCCTTTGTTACTAGTTACGTAAAAGATAAATATTTCTTTCCTTGTGGATACGAACCTTACTACACTATACTACATATAATTGTTGTATTGAATATTTATTTTGAGTGTACACCACGATAAAGTACACGTGAAGTATGTATATTTTTTGTGAGAGATCGAGTATATGTTCAAGAAAGAGATTAATAGTATATGTTCACTTAAGAATGATGAAGTATTTGTTTAAAACTGAAAATGGTGTTTGTTATGTGTTTATTCCGGTTACACGGGATTTTTGTTAAAACCCGGCGTTCCATCCTGAAAGGTCAATCTGATAGAAGGAGTAGTCTAAAATCTTATATAGTGTTTTATTGTTTTATAGATTTCCGGTGTGGGACAAATACTTTAACACGCCCCCTCAGCTTGAACCGGGATGAACAATATCGGGGTATATAAATGGGCCAAACAGACTCTTAACAAGCTACTCGTAATCATGGGTGCTAAACAAGCAGTCAAACCACAAACCGGAATTGACTCTGATACTATGTTAAGACTCGGGGTTTTATCCTAAAAGGTCAACCTAATAGGAGGAGTAGCTCAAAGTCTTTTATAATGTTTTATAGCTTTCTGGTGTGGGACAAATACTTTAACACGCCCTCACTGTCCGAACCGGGCTGGACAATATCGGGGTTTATAAATGGGCTAAACAGACCCTTAACAAGCTACCCGTAATCATGAGTGCTAAACAAGCAGTCAAACTACAAACCGGAATTGGTCCTGATACTATGTTAAAACTTGAGATTCTCTCCTAAAAGGTCAACCTGATAGGAGGAGTAGCCCAAAATCTTATATAGTATTTTATTGTTTTATTGATTCCGGTGTGGGACAAATATTTTAACACAATTTTCTCTCTTGAGTTTTTCCATGACGAAGTGGTCTAAATGCATTAGAAGTGTATATATCTTGCTCAAGCTCTTGCGACTAATTAGTTTTTACTTAAATTGAATTCGGTCTCAAATTATACTAAACTTATACAAATCAAATCAAATTCTGATAGTAATAAAGTACATATAGAATAAACATCTATCAGATCATACCAGACCAGACTTAAATAGATTAAGCTAGACCTGATATCGATGTCTACTATGCTTGTAAGCTTAGTTTTAATAAGTAATAACGCTTTCCTTGAAACTGGGGAACGACTATCGGCTATGGCACCTTGCGCGAGTAAATGCTAGTAGTTATTATATAATCTTTTTCTATACAAAAGCAAGAGAAAATAGGTCATTTTCTCGCCTAAAGATATGTCAGAATTGGTTGAATCGGGTCAAGCCATATGGTCAGCTAAAAGGGATGCAATTTGATGATTTATTGATATGGTAAGGTAATTACACGGGTTAATGTGTTTGTCCATCGAGTGGAAGATTTCACCTTTTGGATCAAGTATTTGCAATGACGCAGCGGTTAAACGAGTGAAAAAGAGATATTGAAAATTGCACTTCTTCGAATAGCGTGAATGGTGTGATGTACAGAGAATATATGAGCTGTCAAATAGTAAAACAAAAATATGGCTCGTCCATTCACGTGCAAAAAGGGAATAAAGTTCCATCTTGCTTGAAAACATGTGCAAAAACTAACAAAACCACCTTGCTACTCCCTCCGTCCCAAAAACAACTTCTCACTTTCCTTAAATGGATGTTTCAAAATAAACTTTACATTTCTGATCACCTCCTTATTTGGCAAATTATCAACATCAAAACAGTGTCAAATAGTATCAAACAGTGTCAAACAATGCTAAATAGTGTCCAAACAGTGTCCAAACAGTAATAACAACAACAACAACAATAATAATATAAATAATTACTCAATATAAAGTATTTGTTTTTGTTATTTTATTGTTTCTGCTGCTATAATAGCTACCACGTATTTTTATTCTTAATTGTCATTAAAATATTAAAATTAAAATATCATCGTTGTAAACATAATTTAATTTCTGTTTGGAAAACGCACTGTCATCCTATCAATTGCAAATTAACATTGATTCACTAAATAATACGGAGTACGTTGTTCAAGGAAATCTGAATCCTAGATTGCACAACTAAAAATCAAACATCAAACATTACTCCAAAAAACTGTAAAAAACTATGGAAATATAAAGTTAGTGCAACACCCATAAAGTAGATAACATGCGACAAAAGGAAAAGTGAGAATTGGGATTTGAGAAGCCACTCTTGAGTGTCAGACCTTTCTTAACACTAGAAAACTTCTCTTTCAACCATGCTTCATGTACACACCATTGTACACACTTTATACACACCATGTTTGTGAAACTTTTTTTTTGTCTGTGAATCCGGTTCACAGACAATATTTTGTTTGTGCAAAACATTGTCTATGAATCGATGTTCACAGACAAAAAGAAAAGCTTTCACAGACATAAGTGTGTACAAAAGTGTGTATAAGAGTGTGTACTAACATCATTTTTGCTTCTCTTTAGACCTAAAATGTCGGCCCTTTCTTAATGCTTTGGTGCATATATTTAGGTTTGCTTTTTCTAAAATTGATATGTGAATTGGACTTAGAGCCTTCATTGGGCTTTACAGATCAAGAGTTGAATTAGAATTTTTAGGATGGAGCATGGTCATTATTTAAAGTCGGTGGGTAAAACTGTTACGGCCAACGCACTATAAATAAATATCATCCTCTTAGGTGATTTCCAACGCATAACTTTGATTATAATTAAATTTAAATACGTATTAATAAACATTAAGAAAAGTTAATAATTTGAAAATTTACATTAATAGAAATTTAATATGACTAACGTTTTATAAATAATAATTTGATTATAAATATTATTAGAAAATCACAGTCAAAGTAAGATGTGTAAATAGTATAAAAATCTGAATGTTGCAACTTTTAAAGAACTGAGGAAGTAAGTGTCAAAGTCAATTTTGTCACATGTTGGATTCTTATTTTAAATAGTTAGTGTTCACTCATGCTCAAAGTATTTTATGTCTGGATATCCATAGTTATAAATCATAAACCTTTCAAAAACATTATAAATTATAGATGTTTGAAAATATTGATTTGTGATGAAGATTGCTAATAAATCGATCACACTATCAACGTTGTTCACAAAAAAGTATTTCAAATTGTGTAGTCTGGTGCAAACTTATTGTGAAACATAGATCGAAATTTATTCTAAACCATAGTTCAAACAAGTCTGAGTTCTACTTTCTTTTCCTTAATTATAACCATTATTTTACGTAGTAATTTATCTTACATGTATACTCTTCTCATACATTTTACTAATTTTACAAATATATGAAGTATATGTTTATAGATTATAGATCACATAAAAACCCTCCCTCCCATGAAAACTAAAAACCAATCCTAACTGTACGTCTAACACTTATTCTTGCCGATTACCACTTGAATTTTTCATGTTTAATTCTTTATTTTTCCTTCATCCCACTATTTGACCGGTAAAAACGGTTATTGTATGTCTATAAAACAGTTATATATATCATGTTAACCAATCGTGTTATAGATTTATTACTTAATTTATGCCCCGTGCATCGCACGGGTGAGAATCTAGTAGAAATGACCTCTAATATTATACGGAGTATATATGAATAGTGAAAATGCTTTTCTTTCATCAACATACACTTTTAGAGTTATTCATAATTCTTCACCATTTGCAACAAACATATCTTATATTGCTCAAAAAGAAATGTTATAAATTTTAAAGGCATAAAGTTTATAAAATTATCATAAGATTTCATAGTGGAATCATATAAGATTAATATTGAAGAGGAAAATATAAAAAATAAACAATACTCAATGCGCAACTAATGGACTTTTAAAAATCCAAAGTTGGACGAGTACCTATATCCTTAATTCAAAAGGGTAACAATAATTTTACACAAAGAATGATACACTAATATTTGTGCGTCCAATGATATAAGAATATCTTTAAAATCCCAAACCATTGCTAAAGTTATAAAACGGTTAAGTTAACAAATTATTCAAAAAAATCCACGAAGTACTTAATTGATTAGTTATTCCTCATATCTGAATTCGCAAAAAGTGTTTTAGGTAATAGGAACACATATTTCAATGTTTATTTTGTTGGTTAAATTTATGGGTTAATAGAAATTATGGTCCTGTTTGGTTAATGTTTGTTAGAAAGAAAATATTATGTATCTAAATTAGTGTAGAGGAATGAGAAACAATAAGAATCACAATTTAATTACCGAATGTCAAACATTTTGGTAGAAAAAAGAGGACATGCAGAAGGCAAAGGTTAAAATGTAGCTTGAAAATAGAAAAAGAATTCAGCATTTGGGAAAATCAAGAATTCACTTGAGAGATTCCTGGGGTGGGAGATTCCACCTTTTGGACCAAGAATTCATCATTTGGGAAAATCAAGAATAAATTACCGTTATCTGCCACCACTCAATGACCTAGAAAATAGGTCCATGCTTTCTCCATCACTCGTTTTACCACCACTGGTGAACGAATCTCCGACATTATGAATTGCGTGAGAAGATGCAGACGCTGAAAGATACTCGGTCACTTTTGAAGACATTTCATTTTCCCCTGATCCTTCCGCACGATGCCTCTCTAGAACTCGCAATCCATCAATCTCCATTGCCACTTCTCTCATAGTAGGCCTGTCATCTCTCCTCACTTTCAAACACCGGCTCGCAATCTTCGCAACTTCCGTATATTGCTCAAAGTTTACATCATTAACTATACGGCTATCCACAATTTGGGACAGGTTGCCATTGTTCAAAGAAGAAACAAAATAAGCCGCTAGATTCCTATCATCCTCTGCCCTAGTAGGTGAAATTGCTTTCTCTCCCGTTAATAGCTCTGCGAGAACAACCCCGAAACTATAAACGTCGCTTTTATCTGTCAATTGGCCAGTGTGAAAGTACTCGGGGTCAAGATATCCAAACGTTCCTTGCACTAAAGTTGTGACTTGAGTTCGGTCCAAAGGAAAAAGCCTTGAAGCTCCAAAGTCGCCAACTTTTGCTGTAAGCCTGTCATCTAGTAATATGTTTGCTGTCTTTACATCTCTGTGAATGATTGGGGGAGATGCAGCAGAATGTAAATACGAAAGCGCTCCTGCAGATTCTGATGCCACTCTTAAACGGGTTGCCCATGAAAGATTAGACGATCGCGCTTGGGTATGGAGATGTTCATATAGAGTGCCATTAGTTATAAACTCATACACTAGTAATGGAACTTCCGTCTCTAAGCAGCACCCAAAGAGCTTGACAATATTTCTATGATTGATTTGCGAGAGAACGACGACCTCATTGATGAACTGTTCAACTTGACTTTGCTCACAAATTTTAGACTTTTTTATCGCAACCACACTTGTATCAGTAAGTACACCTTTGTAAACTGTTCCGTATCCTCCTTGACCTAAGATAGTTTTTTCATCAAAATTATCGGTCGCTTTTTCAAGATCTTCTAGTGTGAAGATTTTCATTCTTGCATCATTTGGTCCTCCATTTCCAGCTATTTGTTGCTGTAACAAAATGCCACCGTTTTGATGAAAATAGTGCTCTCTAAGTTTGCTAAGTCTCCTCTTCCTCAATCCCCAATATACGAAGAAGCTTACAATGAGCAATGATGCGACACCAACACTCACACCTGTGTATCATAAATTGAAGCACAAAAACAAATTATTAGCCTTCTTTAAAACACTAGAAAGTGCATGCTACCTCCGCTCTGTGCTAACTTTCCTTTTTTATGCCCAAAAACTTTTTGTTCCCCTTTAATGGGATGAGGAAGAATTTAATACTTATACCCCATTCGCCCTTGAATTGGTTCGATGAGTAGTTTAAGGAAGTGAAGATATATATTTTTTTCTTAATAATTAAGGAAAGAGAAAAACGGTTAAACACATCTCTTTATCCGCAATAATTTTGAAACAGCCAAAAAAATAAATATAAGGTAAATATATATACAACTTATTAAGCTGTCCGCAATGGTAAGGGTGAAAACCCCAAATTTAAGGTTCATCCCAAATGTTGCTGCAATCCAACCATTTTTTCGTATCGAAAGTACTTGGAGTGAATTAGGAAAACCCATGGGGTGGCATGCTGAGACCTTGATTCACCCAGGAGAGAGGGGAAAAAGTGTACGCATTTGGTCCAAAAGGTGGAATCTTCCACCCGAGAAATCCCAACCCCGACCTAACAGGATGATGGAGAAGTTAATCACGGTGAGTCAGTCAGAAAAGCAGCATCAAGCCTTATACACGTGCGCACCAGAGACATGGGCGGATTGGGCCTAGGGCCAGGGAAGGCCCAGGCCCATGCTCAAATTTTTCTTTTTCTTAACTATTATATAGGTTTAAAAATCAGGCCCAAGCTCAATTTTTTAAAAAACAGGCACAGTACAAACTATCAAGTCCAAAAAGCAGGCACGGGAAGAGTCGAGCAGTCCGCAGTCCGCTTCATTTTTTTTGCTTCGGCGAGTTCGGCAAAACCCCAAAGGCCAAAAACGAATTCCCTACGGGCTGGTGACAAGAGTGTTTATGGAGGCAAAGACGTCTTGAATGCTGTGAAGAATATCAATGAATTCTTGGGTCCTAAGCTTGTCGGGGTGGATAACAGGTAAGCTATTATAGTCAAAGTGTCACTTTTTGTTGCTTTTTAGTGTTTTTCTGGAATCTCTAATGACTATTTCATGGGTGAGAGCAATTCGGGTAGTTTGGGTTTAACTCCATTTGTTATTTGATTTCACTCAACATCCTGTAATTAGTCAAAGAATTTAGCTAATTACCTATCATGCTTATGTTTTTAAGGTCTGCTAATTTTTTCAGTACAATGCTCATTATATAAGTAGTGACTCATTTTGGGTGAATTTTGTAAGGATTAGGGTAAGGTTCCATTTAATAATGGTCGTATGATTGGCACTAAGATTGCCCTAAATACGGATTAGGGTATGGCCGTATGGTTTCACTTCACTTCTACACGATTTTTTCAAAATTATCAAAACATGGGCCAGTCTACCTAAGTATTGCCTGGTAACCTGCCCAATACCCAATTGTTTACACTATAACATTGTGAATTTATCACTCCGTATTTAATTCAATTGTTCATCATATATATGGATTTTGTATAGACTAGACAATTATACATCCATTTGCTGCTCTTCGGTGGACGGTGGTAACTGGTAAACAGAGCTGCAGAGGCGTGAGTGCTGACTCCTGAGAAGTGAGAACTGCTGCCTAAGTCCTAAGCATTTAAGAGTTTTTTTAATCTTGTAATTTTATTGTGTTTTTAGTTCAAGTTAAAGACTAAATTACAGCTTTGCTCGATATGAATTTGATTATTATTTTTAAACTTGTAAATTGTAATCATCATTTATAGTATAAGTTAATTAATATTAGTGTAGTAATTAGTCATCGCGTTATTTTCAATAAAGGTAATGAAGAGATTTATAGTATAAGTTAATTAATATTAGTGTAGTAATTAGTCATCTCGTTATTTTCAATAAAGATAATGAAGAGATACTATAACCCTATTGAAGAAAAAGTTAATGAAAGTAGCTCTTCAAACGATATCAATCGATGAAAACCCGTAGAGAACAGTTGTAAAATTATGGTGTTTTTGTATTTGACTTTAATGAAAACTCTTATTCCTATAATCTTTATTTTTGTCTTTGATTTTGTTGCTAGAATAATTGTTTTTTGAATATTCGTTTTTAATTAAATTTTGGCCCCACCTGGATTCCAAAGCTAGATCCGCCCCTGACCAGAGGTTCAACCTTATTTCAGGTTCTGTAACATCCACACGACCGCTGCAGATTTCGAATCTTGGTCACTTGGTCCAATTTTCTCACTATTAGACCAACTGAACTACTCGTGAGAGTTAGAAAGTGTAAGCATGTTGCAGCCGCAGGAACACAAGAATGGGTGATGCTGGGCCCAATTAAAACAAAATCCCCAAAATGCATTAAAATGATTTACCTTTTTTATTTATAATCCAAATTTTATAAAAATTATATCAAAATTCATGATTTTTCATGCTCTTTCATATGACATTAATATTATATATATATAACTTTTTTTAAAAAATAAAGTTTTCTCAATTTGAGAATTTATGTTCAGATATTTTATTAAATAAACCAGGGTGTTAAAATTATGGTTAAAATATTTTTTACTACATTATTTTGTTACTTTTTTAAAAAAATAGATTTGGAGTAACCAAAAAAATTAAACTCCAAATTTATTTATTTTTACATCGGAATGTTTGACTTTTTAGATCATAATTAATGGTAATAATAAAATTGTCACATAAATGTTGTGTAATGAGAAAACGTAAGGGAAAAACCGAATTGACAGGATGAATACGTATAAATTGGTGGGGAATTAGATTTATTGACGGGTTGGGTTGCGGTTAGCCTTAGGATCCGGAATATAAAAATAATCTAGATTGAATAATGAGCCTTTGTGTAGTTATGCTTCTTTGACCGTCGTGCACATTTTTTTAGAGGTGGACTCGGGCCGGATCGGGCTCGGTCGGCCCGCCGGTTTGTATCTCATGGACCCGGGACCGGCCCGAGGGTTGGACGGGTCTGGTTCGGGCCGCGCCACCCGCCCGGGTCACGGGTCGGGCCACCCGCCGGGCCGGGCCGGGCCGGTTATTTTTTTTTATATAATTTATAGATTTATACAAGTATTAAAAACAAAATTCAAGTGTATTTATTTGAAATGAAATAGGAACTACATTTGAAAATTAAAACAAACTTCAAGAGACATACATTTTGTAAATTGTAATCAATCGAAACTTCTCGCACCTCCCGATCCTTTGGCTTTGTCACATGACTTAATATGCTTCATTGTCATCCCGTATCCGCCTGAAACCCCCATGCTACATTTTTCCCCGCACCATTTGCAAGTTGCGTACCACATCCCGGTCTTCGAGTCCTTCTGCTTATCAAAATAAGGTTTTTTACCCCCCCCCCCACCCCCAGCCCCTCCACCCCCCAACCCCCCCCCCCCCCCGCAGCCCACCCAACGGCTATATAGCCGTTTGGGTTGTCCCCAGCCCACCCCCAACGGCTATTTTGGCCCAAACTATTTTTTTTTTTGAAAAAAAATTGACCGTTGGACCCGGACCCGGGCCGGGTCAACTATTTCCGGAACCGAGCCCGCCCCGCACATCCCCACCGGTTCAAGTCTACACCCGGTCCCGGACCGCCAGACCGAGCCGGTCCCGGGCCCGCACAGTAGCGGGCCGGGTCACGGGTCGGGTGGCCCGAACCGAATCCAAACCTAATGTTGCTACGGTCTAACAAAGAATTAATTGCAACCGTTCATTTTTTACGTTTTTGAACGCACAAATTTGACTATTAATATCTTTCTTTCCTTATTAGCGTAAAAATTAAAAAGGGGAAAATCGCATATATGGTCCCTCAGTTATCCACGAAATTAAAATCTCAGACCTGTATTTTTGAGATTGTAAATGTCACCCCTCAATTGTCCAAATTGTTGTAAATGTGGTCCTTTAAGTGGTGAAATGTACTCTCTCCCACATTGTATATTTCACCCCTCAAATTCTCAAAAGACCACATTTACAACATTTTGAATAAGAAAAATTCCACTTTTGGTCTCATGACTATTATACCACTACCACATTTAGTCAGTCGCTTACTTTTAGATTGCCCACATTTAGTCCGTGATCATTATCCCCTCACCACCTATCGTTCTTCCCGCTAAAATTCCGGCAAATTTAATGCAGATTTTAGATATGAAAAAACAAATTTAATGCAAAGACTGATATGAAAAACCCAACCTGATACAAAATTAAATGCAAAGACTGATTCTGAGGCTGAGAAGTGGACTAAATTTGCCGGAATTTTGGCCGGAAGGATCGAGGGTGGTGAGAGGATAATGATCACGGGCTAAATGTGGACAATCTGAAAGTAAAAGTGATAGAGTATATCTAGAGAGAAGTGAGAGCTAGAGAGAGAAGTGCAATAATATGCTTCAATAGAATGAATTTGTAACCCCTATAACTACTCCCAAAGGGAGTATTTATAGAGAAAATTAGGGTTGGGCTCCCAAGCCTTGGGCTTGGGAGGCCCATTTACAACTGGACCGCTGCTGGGCCGAATACAAAGCCACTAATGGGCTGTACAAATGAGTAAGAGTAAAATCCGATTCTGGGAGGTCTTCTTGGCCGACGAGGGCGTGGCCGAAGAGGGCACGGCCGACGAGGGCACGGCCGACGAGGGCACGGCCGACGAGGGCACCCGGGTCCCTTGGACTCAGGACCATAATCCGAATTGGCCCCTTCTCGGCCGACGGGGGCGTCATGGCCGACGAGGGCGCCACTCTGTGCCTTGTGCTTTCTGTTCTTCCGAGTATGTGGGTCCGGGGGCTCAGACCCATATACTCCATCAGGAGTCCCCCACTCTCTAAGCTGAGACGTAGATGAAGTGAAGGAGAGTAGATTCCTCTGCTTTGGCGCCCTTGGCCGTTCTGTTCCTTGTTGTAGACAGGGAGGCCGTTGTTTACTTGATGTCTTTGTTCTTGGACGATGAGTGTCCTTCTTTCAATGGTGGCCGTTGAAAGGCACGTTTGCTTGGGCGTTGATGGTTGAAAGGCCACTGAAGTTATTCCTTGCTTTGAGGACGATGGCGTCCTTTCCTTTATGTGGCCGATGAGGATGTTTGCGCACTCCTTTTGGCCGTTGCTGGTTGGCCTTCGTATTTTTGGCCGAAGAGCCCGTCAAAGTCAATTGTTGGCGGAGGACGATGAGTGTCCTTGCCTTTGGTGACCCGTTGGCCGTTGCAGATGACGTTGCGTGCATACCGACGAGGTGCAGTGTGATGCGTGGCCGATGTGGCCATGCTCTGTGGTTACCTTGTTAGCATTTTCTTTTGTTTTGTTGAGGCCGGTGTAGTCCCCCAGTCCCCCACTGCTTCAGGCCGAATAGTGTGAGGTGTGAAGGAGTTCCTTGAGTCCCCGGCCGAAGCGGTCTCGCCGTAGTCCCCCTGAATCCAACCCTCATGGCGATTTTCTGGCCAAGGTAACCCTGTGGGAGAACCCTTGTGCGCAGATCGCTTGTAGAGGGTTATCATCAAGGGTTATTTACGAGGAGCCGATGGCTTTTGGGCTCTTGGGTCCTTTGATCTTGTGGCCGTTACGTTCCTGGCCGTTGCCGTCTCCTTTTTGTCTTGCATTTGTGATATTGGCAAGCAGATGGGACGTTATGGGCGCTAGCTGGTACTTGTGAGGCCGGCGAGCGTGTAGGCCGTATAGTCTGATTTGCCAGTGGGCCGTTGATGTGGCTTGGGCCTGGCCCGTTGGTGTCGTGGTGGCCTCCCATTGGTGGCCGTTGATGTGGCCATTGGGAGAGTGCCACGTGTAGTGACCGTTGGGTGGGGGGGTCTATAAATACCCCTTCCCCTCCGACGAGGAATCACATTTGCATTCTGAATTTGTCGAAGTGCTGGCCGATTTTCTAGAGAGATAAACTCCCAAGCCTGTTCTTCGTTGTTCTTCGTTGTTCGAGGTTAGTGTTCATCACGATCTTCCTCGCTTTTCATACTTTGCTTCCTAGGTAGTTGATCTAGTGTTAGGCGTTTAAACACCTTTAGATCTTAAGTTGTTCTCCTTAAGCCCGTAGTAGTAGTAATGAAGAGCTTGAACGACGACTACTACCCCTATGACGACCAGCCCTCCACGAGGTCACTTGACTACGAGGTGCTCGAGGAGTTTGAGGAGGAGATAGGGCGTTTAAGTCCATACAAATCCGCGGAGCTGATGGACGAGGAAGGCGAGGACGAGGAGTCCGCCTCTTCTTCAAAGGGTGAGGACGTGGGTGCGTCCCGAGTGGTGGACGGGGCGTCCACTTCTGCTGTCATTCCGTGCCCGAGGCCGGTGTCCGCCGTTAAGGGAGCCGCCAAGCCGAAGAGAGTGAGGAGGCCGAAGAGTGGGCCCGGCGTCTCCTATCTAGATCTCACCAACATCTACCTGATCAAGCCGGAGAGCAGTGCGGCCGATTACCTTGTTGCCCAGATGTACGTGGGGCCGTTCGGGCGGGTTAGGGCACCCAAGCCGACGGACCATGTTCTTCTTCCACCACCGGGGTACTTTGGAGTATACCCGATGAGTTTTGCCAAGGGGTTGAGGTTCCCCCTTCACCCTTTCATTACTGAGTACCTGGACATGGTCGGGCTTCCTCCGGCCTTGCTGACGCCGAACAGTTACTCTTTGATGGTGGGGTTTCTGCTCCGGTGTGAGGAGTTGGGCTACCGGCCGACGACGGCACTATTCATGAATTTGTACCAGATAGGCCGAGGAAGTCACAAGAACTGTGCGGCCTATGCTACTCTTCAGCAGCTGCCGAAGAAGAGGAGCTTCACGGATTTGCCTACGTCCATTCATGGGTGGAAGAGCAAGTTCGTGTTTGTGTCCATTGGTGAGAGTGGCACCGAGTTTCCCTCCCTCGGCCACACCGGGAGGTTTAACCTGCATGACCCGCCGAAGAGCTCTATTTTGGACGCTCAGGTGGAGGCTTTCTTGGAGGGGGGGCCGAGGAGCGTGAAGGATTACATCACTGAGTACAAGATGGCCGCCCTCGGCTTCGTGAGGTATTATGTCTATGGTGACAAGGAGGATGACCTCCAACTCTGGCCGAGGATGACCACCACCTTTGAGGAGGCTGACGGCCCGGACTTGGGCATTCCTGCTGAGGCCGATGGTAATTCTTTCTTCGGCTTTCTGTCTTTATGTTTTGTCCTTTGCCTTACTAATCTGTTTGTGTTTTTCCTTTGTAGATTTTGTCATGGACCGTCAATCCATGATGGCTATTGCCAAGGCCAAAGCAGCCGAGGAGATTGCTGCTAAGGCGGCCGAGGCGGCCAGACGTGCCGCGGCCGGTGGGGGCGGGGCTACTGCTGATGCGGCCCCACAGCCTGCTCCGAAGAAGAAAAGGCCGGCCCCTGACGGCCAGAAAAAGCTAACTGAGGCCGGCGTGAGCGTCTCGAAGAAGACGAAGAGGGCTCCTTCCCCTTCTCCGGCTAGTGAGGCCGGTACTCTTACTGTCCCCATCGTGGGCGATGGTGGTCCCGTCGTGGACCTTACTGTTGCTGACGATGCTGCCCCAGCGCTTCCTCTCGTCCAGGAACCACGGACGCAGAGGGCCGGCAAGGAGATTGCCGGTGCCACCTATCAGAAGGTGATAGAGTACCCCGTCGGCAGGGGCGTGTTTAATGATCTCGTCCCCGGCCACGTCGTCCTGGCCAAGGCCATGCCGGCCAAAGATCGGGCTCATTTGAAGAAGCTCGAGGACCCGAAGATTTATGAGGGCGGCATGGACCTCCTCGTCCAAGTAAGTGACTGTCCTTATATTTTTGTCTCTCTTCGTCTGTGTAGAGTTTTTCGCCTGACCTTTGTTTTCCTTCTGCAGAGTGCCTTCATGCTTATGGAAAGCCATAAGAGGCAGTACTGGGAGATAGCTCGCCTGCAAGCGCTGGAGCAGAAGGCTGCCTCGGCCGACGAGGCGGTAGCTTGCCTTGACCAGCTCCGGGAGGATGCCAAGGCGCTGCAGGCCAAAGCTGATGAAGCCGCCGCGGTCAGGGACGATGCCCTGGTCAAGCTCGAGGAGAGCAAAAGGGAGCTCGAGGAGTCCCGAAGGGCGCTCGAGGCCGAGAGGCGCAGGAGCGAGGAGGCCGCCAAGGTGAAGGCTGAGGCCGAGGCCGCCATCGTGAAGGCTGCCGATGAGGCCGTCGTGAAGTTCCTGGCCGAGGGGTGGAAGGCCGATGAGAGGCTCCCCTGGTGCTACGAAGTGGTGGCCGCCAGGCTGGAGAATTGGGGGATGAACTCCCCTGCCGGCCGGGAGTATTTCAGCCGGGAGATGTCCGTTTATTACAACCTGGGCCAGGAGCGGATGCAAAGGCTCCTGTGTCGGCGGCTATCCCGGGCGTTGAAGGCCATGAATTACACGTCTGGATGGGCTAGACGGAACCTGAAGCTGCCAAAGCTGATAAAGGATCCCGAAGAGCAGGCCAAGCTTCCGCTGTCGGAGCGGGAGTCCTCCATAGAAAGCTCCGGCCTCGGCGAGCCGGACTACACTGAATTCGACTTCTTAGACGATGCCACCAGCGCCGCTGCCGGCCAAGAAGCTGAGGCCGATGAGGCCGACGAGGAGGGAGCCGACGAGGTTGAAGAGCCAGCCGCGGATGAAGGTGCCCCGGAGGCTTAATCGGCTATTCCCTATTGTAATTAGCTTTTCATTTGTTGCCAAATTATGTAACGGCCGAAGTGCCCCCCCTTGTAATGAATTGATTAAATGAAAGAATTTTTGCCATCCTTCTCGGCTTTGAATCCATTGTATGCTTGTTTGCCTTGTCATTTCAATTCGGTAAATTGTCAGTGTCAAGTCATAACTTGGGTCACCCGCGAGTGTCCGCTACGTCCGTAAGGGTGGCCTTCCTGTCCAGTAGTCTGGTCGGCCTATGCCTCTTTGCTTTACTGTCATAACACTTAGGATTTTGTTTCAAAAATTTCCCAAGTGTTTTTGGGTCCATGTAGCTCCTGTCTTTACGGCCTAGTGGCTTGATCGGCTTGGACGTAGTTTCATAACACTTAGGAATTTTTCAAAAATTTTCTAGGTGTTTTGGGATCCACTTAGGTGCTTTCCTTTCGGCCTGGTGGCCTAGTCGGCTTGACCGGTGTTCCTTTGCTATCATAACACTTAGGATTTTTTCACAAAATTTCCTAAGTGTTTTTGATTCCTTTTAGGTGCTTCCCTTTTTAGCCTTGATCGCAGTGTCCGTTCCGTCCAGGCGTTGGCGTCCTTATCGTCCTGGCCTTGGATTCATCCCAGGTGTTTTAGCCAGGGCCGTTGTCGGCTTGTATCCCTGTGTTCTGGCCGATAAGGGCACCTTCACCATAGTCTTGTGGAGTTTGAATTTTTCACAAGTACACATGTAGAGGTGTAGGTGGCTAACGGCTTTGTAGTATACTGGTACCCGCTTCGGCTAGAATTCCTTCATTTGAGTACTTAGATAATTTCCTGAGTATAAATGTTAGGCATTTACGTCTTTGCGGTGCCCTTGCCGGCCAAGGTCTGGCTTGTGGCCGATGAGGGTGCTGGATAAGGAATAGCTTGTCCAAGGAGATGGTCCTGCCTTCGTCGGCTAGTCATGGTTCCAGTGCCTGCGTCGGCTATCCGAGGTGCGGTGGCAAGTAGAGTGTATCTTGATTACTTGATCCTTTCGCGGGTGTGATAAGTGCCCGCTTCGTCCCGGTCATCCTCCGGTTTGCGATGCTTTGTTTCATACCAAGCGTTGGTGCCTCAAAGGACTATGGCCGATGAAGGTCACCTCTCGCGTGTCACCCAACCGATGTGGTTAGGGTTTCATAGGCGTGTGTATTGGCCTTGATTGTTCCCTCGTGGTGTGTGGACGTGTCGTCCATGCTGCCTGTCAGTGGTACTAAACTTGTGTTCAACTGATATGTACTTGGCCTAGTTGGGTCTGAGTTGTGGGATTTTATTTTTTCATTGCTCGAGGCCGGCTAGTATGCGCGGCCGTCGGCTTCCCTCTTTTTCCCTTGTATGTCTTTTTTTTTTCGTTTCGGGGGTATCCTTCTTTCAGGCTTCGGCCGAAGGGTGTGCTCGTCCTTCGGCCGGTTCGGACTTCGTTTATAACGTCCGCGATCTCAGGGTGGGTCCCGTCGCCTATTTATGACGCGGGCTAGACTTTTGGTCGGTTTCCAACGGCTGTCGTTGCCCAACCCTGAGTTTTGGGATTTTGTCACCTCGGCCATGATTTCAGGCCTGTCGTCCTGCGATCTAACGCGTGGATGACGCGGTGAGCTTCCCGTTTCAAGACGTGGGCCGTTTGCAGGCCCCTCGTCCTGGGGACATCGTCGGCCATACCTAAGCGTTTCACTTCTAGGCTTACGGGGCCAGGACGATGTGCTCTCTTAGCTAGGCCTGAGCCCTTCGCTGATACAAAATACAATGGAGTGCCTGAGCTTGTCGCTCGTAGGCTGCAAATGCAAGGGGCCATGTCGGCCAGACCTGAGCCTTTCGCTCTAAGGTGGTCGACGAAGGCACCTGCTAATGTTTTTCTTTAAATTCCAGAGAAAAAATCAGAACATGATTTTATTCATAAGTGGCTCGAGGCCGAGGGTGGCGTTCAATCAGTAACCCGTTAAGGGGTGAGGGCTTCGCCGTCTATACCTCCTTCGGATTACTGATAAAACTTCACCAGATGATGTACATTCCATGTTCGTGGTACATTGGACCCATTCGGTCGTTTAAGTTTGTAGGTGCCGGGTTTGACCACGGCACTGACGATGTAGGGCCCTTCGTACTTCAATGCTAGCTTGCCACCCTCTGTCGGCTGGCTTGCTTCCCTTCGGCGGAGGACATAGTCCCCCACCTGAAATTCCCGGGAACGTACCTTGGCGTCGTAGTATGATTTTACTTGACGCCGGTAGTTCTCTGCTCGGACGTAAGCTTGCTCACGCCTCTCATCGACCAGGTACAAGTCAATCTTCATGCTTTCCTCATTGGCGTCAGGCTCGTATTGTTCCACCCGCCGGCTGGGGATGGCAACCTCTGTGGGTGCCTTTGCCTCGAAGCCGTAGCACAGGGCGAAAGGTGTTTCACCTGTCGCCCTCCTCGGCGTGGTTCTGTAGCACCACAGGATGTTGGGGAGCTCGTCGACCCAACTACCTCCTGCGGCCTGGAGTTTCTTCTTCAGCCCCTCCATAATTGTTCTGTTGGCGTTCTCGACCTGCCCGTTGCCCTGAGGATAGGCAACGGAGGAGAAACGGTGCCTCACCCCAAACTCCCGGAGGAGCTCCTGAAAAGGGGCTGCCTCGAATTGGGTGCCGTTGTCTGATATGATCTCCTGGGGGACGCCAAAGCGTGTGATGATGTTCTTGTAAACAAATTTCTGGCATCTGGCCCCCGTGATGCTGGCCAAAGGCTCCGCCTCGACCCACTTGGTGAAGTAGTCGACGGCGACGATGATGTAGCGGTTATTTCCGGCGGCTCTGGGCAGGGGGCCGACCAAGTCAATCCCCCATCTGGAGAATGGAATTGCGGTGCTGACGGGGGTGTAGTTGACAGCTGGCCGACCAGGGGCCTTCTGGAGTACCTGGCATGTGGTGCACTTCCTGGCTAGGTCGGCGCAGTCGCGCGCCATCGTCGGCCAGAAGAAGCCCTGGACGACGAGACGCCGGGACATGCTGAAAGGGCCCTGGTGTGAGGAGCAGACGCCACAATGAACTTCTTCCATGGCAGTGTCGGCCTCGTCCTGGTGCAGGCACCGGAGGAGGGTGCCATTATAGGACCGTTTGTAGAGTTTGCCATCTTCGATGGTGTAGCTTGGGGCCCTGAGTTTGGCGAGTTTGGCCCTCTCCTCGTCCGGGGGCAGCTCCCCCGTTGTGATGAAGGTGGCGATACCGGAGATCCAGTCCTCTGGTCGCTGTTGGACGCACAAGACGGGGCTGGCATGGATGCTGGACATGCTCAACTCCTCGATCTTGGCCAACTGGGAGACGTGCTCCGGGGTGTCCGAGCTGAGCTTGGAGAGGATGTCGGCTTCAGCGTTCTCGGCCCTGGGGATCTGAGTGATCTCGTGGGTTTCAAATGCTTTCAGCAATTCCTCCGCCGCTTGTTTGTACTGCTTCATCCGGCCTTCCTTTGCTTCGTACGACCCCTCCACCTGGCCCACTACCAGTTTGGAGTCGCACTTGATTCTGAGGTGCTTGGCCTTGAGGCCGGCGGCGAGTCAGAGACCGCTGAGGAGGGCCTCATACCCGGCTTCGTTGTTGGATACCCTGAAGTTGAAGCGGATGGCATAGTAAGCTCTGAATCCTTCAGGGGATATGAGGACGACGACGCCGCCGCATGATTTCGCGGCCGACGAGCCGTAAGTGAACAGGGTCCACGTGTCGTCCGGCTCCGGCCCGGAGTTGGCGACGGCCGTCTCCCTTGCTGTGCATTCAATGACGAAGTCGGCCAAGGCTTGCCCTTTGATAGATGGCCTTGGCTTGATCTCAATCTGAAACTGGCTGAGGAAGATCGCCCATTTTACCATCCTCGAGGAGCTAGTGGGGCTCCTCATGAGCGCGCCGAGAGGCTGCTGAGTCAGCACATGGACGGTGTGGGCTTGGAAATAGTGCCCCAGCTTCTTCACGGTGTGGACGATGGCCAGCACCGTTTTCTCAATGGGGGAGTACCTGAGCTCGGCCTCCCTAAGTGTCTTGCTGATGTAGAAGATGGCCTTCTGCACCCCTTCGTCCTCACGGATGAGCACGGAGCTGATGGCCGACGTGCTCACCCCTAAGTACAAGAAGAGGGTTTCGCCGGCTTTGGGCTTGGAGAGCACAGATGGGGACGACAGGTACCTTTTCAATTCGTCGAACGCCTCCTGGCACTCCGTTGTCCACTTGAAGCTGTTTGCCTTGCGCATGATCTGGAAGAAGGGGAGTGCCCTCTCGGCTGACCTGGAGAGGAACCGGTTCAAAGCCGCCAGGCGCCCCGTCAGTCGTTGTACCTCCTTGACGTTGCGGGGCGGCTCCATGTTGATGATAGCCTGCGTCTTCTCCGGGTTTATCTCGATGCCTCTCCGGCTGACCATGTAGCCGAGGAACTTGCCACCCTGGACGCCGAAGGCGTATTTCTTGGGGTTGAGACGGACTCTGAACTCCTTCATTATTTCAAAGATTTCCCGGAGGTCGTCGGCGTGGGAGGTGGCCTGCCTGCTCTTGACGATCATGTCGTCGACGTACGCCTCCATCGTCCGGCCAAGGACCGCTCTGAAGATCTTGGCTACCATCCTAGTGTAGGTGGCGCCGGAGTTTTTGAGTCCGAAGGCCATGACGAGGTAGCAAAAGATTCCCTCTGGGGTCATGAATGCCGTCTTCTCGGCGTCATCTTCGTGCATGGAGATCTGGTGGTACCCTCTGAAAGCGTCGAGGAACGACATCAACTCGCACCCCGCCGTCTCGTCCACCAGCTGATCAATGTTGGGGAGAGGGAACGGGTCCATGGGGCACGCCTTGTTCAGGTCAGTGTAGTCAACACACATTCTGAACGTCGGCGGTTTCTGTGCGAGGACGACGTTGGCCAACCATGTTGGGTACTTCACCTCTTTGATATGTTTGATCGATAGGAGCATGGCGACCTCCCTTTTGACGAAGTCCCGCCTGTCAGCGGACAAGTAGCGCCGCTTCTGTTTGACGGGCGTGGAGGCCGGATCGACGGTCAGCCGGTGAGTGATCACCTGGCGGTTGATGCCGGGCATATCGTACGGGCCCCACGCGAAGACAACGGCGTATGACCGTAGGACGAGGAGGATGGCGTCTCGTTGGTCCTGGGGGAGTTGCTTTCCGACCCTGAGAACCCGCTCCGGCCGGGAGGTATCCAGCGGGATTTCCTCGACCTCCTCGGCCGGCTCCGCATGTGGCCTCTCCTCGTCCATGGCGACGGCGGCCGTGATGGTGTCTATCCGCTGTCCTTCCCTTTCGGCCGGCCTCGTCAGCTTGAGGTAGCAAGCTCTGGCTATCCTCTGATTTCCTCTGGCGTAGCCGATGCCGTCATTGGTGGGGAACTTCAAGCATAGGTGCTTCATGGAGATGATGGCCTCCAAGTCCTCCAGCGCTGGCCGGCCCAAGATCAGGTTGTGGGCGCACTGGAGGTTGACCACCATGAATTCCATGTCAATTTTGGCATGGTGGGGGCCGTCACCGACTTCCACGGGGAGGACTATCGTGCCCTCGGCGTCGATAGAGTCCCCGGTGAAGCCGGATAACGGGGTCTTGATCGGCTTCAGCAGAGCTCTGTCCAGCTTCAGCTGCTTGAAGGTGTCTAGGTACATCACGTTGATGGAGCTCCCCGTATCGATGTAAGTACGGTGGATGATGGAGTCACCGATCTCACATCGGATGACGAGGGCGTCCCTGTGTGACTCCGTACCCGGAGGCAGATCCTTGTCGGTGAAGGTGATCGCCTCCGTTCGCTGCTTTTTTGGCTGTGGGGGAACGTGGGACACCTCTCCAATGTAAAGGGATTGGGCCCATTTCTTCCTCTGAGTGGCGGAGTCCCCCCCAGTGTTCCCGCCCACGATGAGGTGGATGTGATTCTTCTTCGGCGGAGGCTCCTCGAAGTCCTCGTCGTCGCTGAGCCTACCAATCTCGCGCTTCTTCGCAGAGGGTTCGCCCCTACGTTCGCCGGTGTTTACCCAAGTGTTTTTACGTGGGCCACCTTTGACAAACTGGGAGAGTTCCCCCTGGCGAATAAGACGCTCGATGGCCTTCTTCAATGTGATGCAATCGTCGGTGTTGTGCGACGAGTTCTTGTGGAACCGGCAGTATGTGCCGCCCTGCTGGATGGCCAGGATCTCCTCGGCCGGCCGAGGAGCCTGCTCGATGAGGCCGTGCTTCTCGGCATAATCGAGGATGGTGCCGACCGGGTGGGTGAGGGCTACCCCCGGCCGTTCCAGCCTCGGCCGCCAGTGGCGGTCTTTCTTACTTTGTCCACCAGGGCCGTGGCGGCCCTGGGCACCCTGGCCGGCCGGGGACGGACCCGAGGCCGGCGAAGGATTTGTCTCCTTGGGGGGATGGCCCCCCTCTCTCTTGTGATTGTGGAGCTCGTCGGCGTCGGCATACAAGCCTCCGCGTTGGAGCGCCTTGGCGTATGACCTCCGGGGGTCAGTGATGAGGCTCCTGGCATACGGGGAGCTGCGGAGGGCTCCCTGGTACAAGGCGAGGAGGGTGCGCTCATCGGCCCCCTCGACCTCCTCGGTCTCCCTCGTCCACCGGTCGATGAATGACCGGAGGGACTCCTCGTGCTGCTGTTTGACGGAGAGGAGGTGGGTGAAATACTTCTTGGCGCGCTTCCTCCGGCAAAGTGAGTGAGGAAGCGCTGGGCGAGATCTTGCCATGAGTCAATGCTTCCCTCTGGCAGTCTGTTGAACCACTCGTACGCTGGCCCCTCGAGAGTAGAGAGGAACCAACGGCAGAGGTATTCGTTGGACGCGTTCACCATCAGCATGTTGTTTTGATAGCGGCTGAAGTGCTCCTGGGGGTCTGATCGGCCATCGTAGGACTTGATGGCGTTCCCCCTGTACTTCTCAGGGATGGGGGCCGAGAGGACCCTGTTGGTGAAAGGGGTCCTAGTCCTGACCTGGATGATGGGGTCACCTCGCCCTTCGGCCAGCTCCCTCTCCAGGGCGCTGACTTTGTTCATGAGCGCGTTGAGGCCGGGGTCGTTGGAGGCGCCGGCCGTAGGGATGTTGGCCGACTGCTTGGCCTCCATCTGAGCCAACCTCCTTTCCAGCTGGGCAATGACCTCGTCCCGAGGGTCTCTGTCAGCCGCGGCGACACCCGGCTGGTTCCTCAGGCGCTCGTTGTGAGCCGCGTTGATCTGGTGACGCACGTCATCCTCGTGCAACTTCCCCTTGCCCTTGTCCGGGCGGGGCTGGTCCGCTGTCCGGGACACAGACCCCAAACTCTCCCTTGGCGAGCCAGGACGTGGATCACCAATCCGTCCCGCCATCCTCTCCGAAACCGGACGACGGCGCGTGTCACCCAGCCTATTGAAGGCAGAGGCTTTTCCACGCGCTGGGGTCTGCCCGGGCCGAAGAGGGGAAGCAGGGTGGGAGTGGGACGAAGCCGTGTCCTGGGCCACAACCCCCTCATTGTTGCCTATCTGGACGGCCAACGGTTGGGGATGAGGAGGTGGAGTGACGTTTCCCCCAGTCCTTGGCAAGAGTGCGCTGAGGACGGTGGGATTCTGAGCCAAGCTGGCGATGATAGCCGATAGTGCGGCCTGAACCTGAGGATCTACGGACGGAGAGGCCGCGGCCATAGGCTGGGCCGGGGCGTGGTCCGCTCTCTCAGCTCGTTTCTTTTCCAGGCCGAGGCGGGCGTCGGGGACTCCGCCGTTGAGTTGGTTGCGGAGGTCCGTCGTGAGGTTGAAGGCCTCCTGGAAGAGGTCCCCTCCGCCGACCTGGTCGGCCGTGGCGTCCTCATCGTGCTCCCTGGGCTCTTGGTCCTCAGGGATGACTTTGCTGACGAGGTTGCGGTTTGACTTAGTTCTCCCCATGATCAGTGGTTAGCTGTGCTTGGTACCGACGAAGGGTGCTAACTTGATTGTTCTATCTCTCAATGAAAGCACCAAATGATAGAGTATATCTAGAGAGAAGTGAGAGCTAGAGAGAGAAGTGCAATAATATGCTTCAATAGAATGAATTTGTAACCCCTATAACTACTCCCAAAGGGAGTATTTATAGAGAAAATTAGGGTTGGGCTCCCAAGCCTTGGGCTTGGGAGGCCCATTTACAACTGGACCGCTGCTGGGCCGAATACAAAGCCACTAATGGGCTGTACAAATGAGTAAGAGTAAAATCCGATTCTGGGAGGTCTTCTTGGCCGACGAGGGCGTGGCCGACGAGGGCACGGCCGACGAGGGCACGGCCGACGAGGGCACGGCCGACGAGGGCACCCGGGTCCCTTGGACTCAGGACCATAATCCGAATTGGCCCCTTCTCGGCCGACGGGGGCGTCATGGCCGACGAGGGCGCCACTCTGTGCCTTGTGCTTTCTGTTCTTCCGAGTATGTGGGTCCGGGGGCTCAGACCCATATACTCCATCAAAGAGATCTAAATGTGGAAGTGGTATAATAGTCATGGGACCAAAAGTGGAATTTTTTCTTTTGAACAATTGAGGGGTGACATTTACAATCTCAAAAATACAGGTCTGAGATTTTAATTTCGTGGATAACTTAGGGACCATATATGCAATTTTCTCATTAAAAAATTTAGATTTTGACATTTTAAAATGAGATGAATTCAATAATAACTTATTTAATTTAATTTAAAATACATTAATATAAATAGATTCAAAGTAGAACACGTGAATATTGTAAAAAATCTAATGTTGCATTTAAAAGAAAACTGCGGATGTGGTAATATCTAGCCTCCTAATATATAAAGATAATTTTCTATATGGTACGTACCTACCATTTTTTTAAGAAAACTGCGTAATCATGATCGACTATGGCTGAGTTGGGTGCTTACATTCACTGGTCATTGTGATGACTAGGTCCAAAAGTTGGAATCTCCCGTCCTAGAAGTCCCCACGCCGACCCGACAGGATGGTGCAAGAGTTAATCACGGTGATTCAATCAGCAAAGCGGTAGTAGGCCTTATACACGTGTGCACCAGAGGTCTAGCATTATTTCAGGTTCTGTAACCTCTACACGGTCGCTGCGAGTTTCGAACATTGGTCACTTGATCCAATTTTCCCACCACTCAACCAACTGAGCTACCGGTGCGGGTAGGTCATTGTGATCGACCTTTACACTGCGTGCTGCACTAGCGTTGATGCTACTTTAGTTGCAACAGAGATGAAAATGAGAGGATTTATGTGGAGGGTTTGTTAAGAAGATTTATTAAATATATTTTAATAAATATTAAAATATAAAAATCATAGTAATAACACTCCGTATTTTTGAATAATAGGAGTATCTTTTATGCCCATAAATGTAATTTTACATTTTCCAGTCACATTTCAGTTCTTTTTGTCAAATGGGTATACTTCACTCAGCTAACAATTCAGATTCAGCACCTCATAATTCAGTTCCAGACAATAGTTTTTAATTCAGTCAATAGTCCTCAATTCAGATATTAGTCTCCAGTTTCAGTTCGTTGTGCCAAACATAGCCTATATAAGCCTTTTCTAATTTCTCAAAATATTCTTCACATGCAAGACGTATACTATATGTAAAGAATGTTAATGATAATTAATAGTTTAGTGTTTTTGTGAACTTTTGAAACATTGATGAATTGATTTTATTGTCTTCGATATTTTTGTTTACTTTCATTTAAAAGAGAGATCACTTACTCGAACAAATTATCCACAAGGCATTATTGGCACTTCGTTTGGGGGTACATTCACCTTTGTAGCCATCTCCTTCATATCCTTTTTTACACAAACAAGTGTAGTTACCAGGATTGTCCTCGCAAATAGCATTTTTATCGCAACGGTAATCATGTGCCGTCTTATCGTTGCATTCATTTACATCTATAAGAAGAAATGGAGCATAAATCAATAAGAATGAGAGAAGACTTTAGAGCGCAAGAAACTAATGTGTGGATGAATAATTAGAAGGAATTAGATTGAAATAGAGAATAATGATGAAATAGAGAATAATGATGGGAGCTCGTTCGAGCGTACTAAAATTGGCCAAATCAGTTGATTTTGTTGAAATTTATAAAAGAAAAAATGAACTCAATATTACTAATAAGCTTTGCATTTCCTAAAATATGACTTATTTTTCCTTTTTCTAAAATATGACTTGAATTAATTAAAGATGCATTTCACTCTATTGGGATCCCTCCTTAATTGGAGAGGTTCTAGAAAAATTCTAGAGCTTTCTAGAGAAGTATAGAATTTTCTAGAACGTTGCGGAGAATCCTAGAGAAGTCTAGAACTCTCTAGAAGTTTGCGGAATAGTGTTGAATCCTCTAGAATATTCTGGAGATGTGTGGAACCTTCCGGAAGCTTATGGAAGAGTATGGAAGCATATGGAAGCGAATGGAGAGGTGTAGAGATTCCTTGAAATTCTCTAGAATAGGTAGTCATGTGTAGATCATTCTAGAGAACTATTCTCCACCACTCATTATGGAGGTGGAGTAGTATAAATAGGAGTAGGAGCCTCCATTCCTAACCCTAGTTAGCTTTCTTGTGTTTAAAACGCGTTTTAAACACGTACCGTTTTTTTGAACAAAAAAACGCGTTGAAAACGAAAAATAATGTTGGTCCGTTTAAAAAGGAAAAATACTTCCCCTTCCCGTATAAAAAGTATATTTCCCGTATTTTACAAAAAATAAAAACATCATTTGATCACTTGAATGAATACATCAAATGAATAGGAGATCAACATTAATAATTTAAAAGCAAAAAAGAAAACCTCATCCCCTTGATCCCGTGTTTTTGTATTGTTACAATACAAAATATACAATTGTTAAATACTAAAATTAATTGCATAATGACTAAAGCTAGCATCCTAAAAGACTAAAATCTAAAATACTACTATGTATTAGATTTGTGATGTTCTTTTCCAAATAAGTGTAGCAGTCACACAACTTTCTCATGTCATCCGTCATCTAGGTGAAAATGATGAGTTTAAGTTGAGTGTTATTTAATGATCGTATAAAGATGATGATGATGTTAACTTGAGCTCATTCTATCGTTAATATGCCTTATTTTCTGACATTGCAAAATTATGTCTTGGATTTGATTACTCCGTACTATTTTTACTTTTGTCATATAGACTTATGCAATTACGAATTATTCTTTTATGTAGTAATGTGATTTGCTACTTCAATATGTGTACACTCTTATTTCTTTTTATTATATGTTATTTTATGAAGTATATAATTTAAATTGTATTTAGGACTCAATCATTATTTCTTTTTTGTCATTAACTTATGCTATTATGAATGCATTTTTTGATGGAGTAATGAGATATTATATTTGAATGTGTGTGTATGTTGATTATCCTTTATGTACTATATGTTTTTTATGCTCTAAAAACTAGTACAATAATTTAGACATTCAAAATAAGACTCATATTTTTAACCCGAATTTTTCTAAGAGATGTTGTATTATACACGTAGACATATTTACACGTTTTATAAAAGTCAACGTATTTTTTACCGAATGTTTTACCATTTTTTTGTTCAAGTTACCGAATAAAACACGTACGTATTAAACCACGTTTAATTCCCGTACCGTATTTAACTAACTATGTTCCTAACCATCCTAGCAATCCTAGCCAAGAGTGAATCCACTTCTTAGAGTGAGAAAGTTAGAGAGCCTCTTTGAGAGAGAAGAGAGATAGCTTGGGAAGTTCCTATCCTCAAGCTTGAGTAAACCACCATTGAGTGAGACAATTTTGTAACATCCTTGTAAATCCTACTATTCTTTTGTATAGTGGAAGAATCTCCATATTGGAGAATTTAAATCGTGTGCTCCCATTACTACTTTAATTCCTAAGTGCCTATCTTAACTTCACGAAGCGGGAAAACTCCGAAGTTTTTCCCAACAGTGATATCAGAGCTAGGTTCATTTGAGGTCGTCATTAGCTCGTGCAGTTCAAGATGGAGGATAACGTCGCCCATGATGGAGACATGTTCAAGCTCACCGCCAACAACTACTCATATTGGAAGCCGACGATGGAGGATCATCTATATTGCAAGGATTTGCATGAGCCCATCATCTACAAAGAGAAGGTGGAAGGCAAGAGCGACACTCAATGGGAGCTACTGAATTGGAAGGCTGTTGCTATGATCCGTAAGTACATCGACAAATCCCTCTTCGAGCATATGTCCACTTACACGAATGCTTATGAATTATGGACAAAGCATTAATCCATGATTCAAAAGAAAACACCTCGTAATAAGGCCAATTTAGTTCGACGATTGGTGAAGTTGGAGTATAAGGATGGTCATAGTATGATTGAACACTTGAACAATTTCAAGGGGCTCGTAAATCAATTAATCAAAATTGAGATGAAAATTGATGACGAGTTGCAAGCCCTTCTACTCCTTAGTTCCTTGCCGAAAAGTTGGTTACGCTTAGTAACTCAGCTCCGGATGGAAAGTTAAACATGGACACCGTCGGTGATAGTCTTCTTGGTGAAGAAACAAGGAGAATGGAACGAGGTGAGTCTATGCATCACGAGGTTAATGTTATCGAGAACCGGGGTAGGATTGTGGCTCATGGAAGCTGTAAGAGCCGAGATCCGCAACAATCTCGAGGACGGTCCAAGTCACGCTCGAAGATCACATGCTACTATTGTGGAAGAATGGGCCACGACAAAATGGAGTGTTGATCCTTCAAAAGAGATCAAAAGTCCGGTAACGTCAAACCAGACCAAGTCAGCCCAACAAAGAAGCAGCAAGAAGAGAAGAGTATCACTTCCGTAGTAGCAAAAGAAGATCTACTATATCTCGTTGGAGAAGGTAGTATCCTCAACATTGCTTATCATGATAGTTCTTGGATTATTGATTCTGGTGCTTCCTTCCACGTTACGCCCCATGGAAGTTTCTTCTCATCTTACCAAAGCGGTGATTTTGGTACGGTTCAAATGGGAAACCAAGATAGGAGCAAGATAGTTGGGATAGGAGACATCGTTCTGACAACTAACACCGAATGCAAGCTTGTTCTAAAAGATGTGAGGCATGTTCCGACCATGCGCCTCAATCTCATCTCCGTTGGGAAGCTAGATGATGTTGGTCTGATGAATTACTTTGGTGAAGGAAAACAGAAGCTCACAAAAGGAAGTTTGGTCATGGCTCGAGGGAAGAAGGAAGGATCGTTGTACGTAATGCAAGCAAAGCTCTGTAAAGGAGAGATAAATATAACCACTGATGACATGGAGGTATGGCATAAACGACTTGGCCATGGCTCGAGGGAAGAAGGAAGGATTGTTGTGAGAAGGGCCTTCACATACTTGCTCGAAAACAACTCCTCCCGGACGTAAAAGGTAAGTCGCTTGATCCTTGTGCACACTGTTTAGCTGGAAAACAACACAGGGTTGCTTTCCAAAGATCTTCTCCGCCTACTAGGAGAAAGAATATTCTCAACCTTGTACACACCGATGTGTGCTCAATGTCCGAGAGATCCATTGGTGGTGCATTGTATTTCGTGACCTTCATCGATGATCATTCAAGGAAGGTATGATTGCACCTGTTAAAATCCAAGGATCAAGTGCTTGACGCTTTCAAGGAATTCCACGCTCTAGTAGAATGTGAGACTGGACGAAACATCAAGTGTGTACGGTGTGACAATGAAGGTGAGTATAGAGGTCCCTTTGAAGCCTATTGCAAGAAATATGGCATTATGCTAGAGAAGACTCCACCCAAGACACCACAATTGAATGGGCTAGCTGAGAGAATGAATAGAATAATTGAAGAAAGAGTTCGCTGCATGCTCTCTCAGGCTATGTTACCCAAATCATTTTGGGGAGAACTGGAGAAGCTATAATGGCCATAGTTGACATTGTCAACCTCACACCATCAGTTCCTTTGGACGGTGCCATCCCGGAGGAAGTCTGGATGGGCAAAATAACTTCATACAATCATCTCAAGGTGTTCGGGTGCAGAGCATTTGTTCACATTCCCAAGGATGAGCGAGCAAAGCTTGATGCAAAGACGAAGGAGTGTATCTACCTGTGCTCACCCAAGGACGAATTCGGTTATCGGGTATGGGATCTAATCAACAAGAAGGTTGTTCATAGCAGAGATGTGGTATTCTTTGAAGACCAGACGATTGAAGATATTAAAAACTCGGAGAGGCCAAGATTGAGAAGCAACAAAAGTACCGAACTTACTACGGTTCGATGTGAGGATGACACACATCAAGATAATGATGATGAAAATCATGAGCCTGTGTTAGAGCAAAGTAACCAGGAGACTCATGATGAATCAACTCAGGAAGATCCTCAATTTAATTCTCTGCCAACATCAGAGCCGAGGCGATCCTTAAGGGAGAGAAGACCATCCACTCGGTATAACACCGAGGAATATGTGATGCTCACGGATGAGGGGGAGCCACAGAGCTATAAAGAAGCAATCAATGATATTCATAAGGAAGGGTGGAGAAGAGCCATGCAAGAAGAGATGCAATCCTTGCATCAGAATCACTCTTATGAACTTGTGGAGCTGCCAAAAGGGAGAGGAAATATTCTCTCCCGTGGTAAAGATGTCATCTATCCGATTTGTCCTTGCCCTAGCAGCGGTGCAAGATTTGGAGATTGAACAACTCGATGTCAAGACAACGTTCCTTCATGGCGACCTAGAGGAAGAGATCTGCATGGAGCAGCCCGAGGTATTCAAAGTTCCGGGTAAGGAAAACCTAGTATGTCGCCTCATGAAGAGTTTGTATGGCCTTAAGCAAGCACCGAGGCAGTGGTACAAGAAGTTTGAGTCCTTCATGGCAGAGCATGATTTTACAAAGACGAAAAGCGATCATTGTGTCTTCATAACGAGGTATGCAAGTGGTGAATTTCTCATACTTCTTCTATATGTTGATGATATGTTGATCGTTGGACAAGATCGCGTAAAGATAGATGCCTTGAAAAAGGATCTAAGCACGAGTTTTGCCATAAAAGATTTGGGACCGGCTAAACAAATCCTTGGGATGAGAATAACTCGTGATAGATCAAAGAGACTGTTGTGGCTATCCCAAAAGAGGTACATTGAGAAAGTGTTGGAACGGTTCAACATGAACAAATCAAAGCCGGTAAACACACCACTTGGTGGACACTTTAGGTTGAGTTCGAAGCAAAGTCCCATAAGTGAGAAAGAAACGGAGGAAATGAAGAAGATTCCACACTCATCTGTAGTAGACAGTCTCATGTATGCAATGATATGCACAAGACTAGATATCGCCTATGCAGTTGGAGTCGTTAGTCATATCTTGGCCAACCCAGGGAGTGAACATTGGGTAGCGGTCAAATGGATCCTCCAGTATTTACGTGGAGCTTCCAAAAGATGTTTATGCTTTGGAAAAGAAAAACCTGTGTTAGAAGGATACACAGATGCAGACTTGGCCGGTGATATTGATTCAAGGAAATCAACATCGGGATACCTAACTACTTTTGCAGGGGGAGCTATTTCATGGCAATTAAAACTGAAGAAGTGTGTTGCATTATCCACCACAGAGGCAAAGTACATCGCAGCTACTGAAGCTTTCAAGGAGATGTTGTGGATGAAGAACATGTTGCTCGAGCTGGGAATAGATAAAGAAAGGTACGGGTTGAAGTGCGACAATCAAAGTGCAATTTACTTGGCAAAGAACTCAACATTTCATTGCCGCACGAAGCACATTGACGCAAGGTATCACTGGATCCGAGAAGTCATCGAAGAAAAGAAATTGCATCTTGACAAGGTTCACACAAACGAGAACTGATCAGACATGATGACCAAGGTAATACCGACAAAAAAGTTCGAAGATTGCCATCAAGGTGCAGGTTTGCTACAACCCCCCAATTAAGTCGGGAGGGGGAGATTTGTTGGGATCCCTCCTTAATTGGAGAGGTTCTTGAAAAATTCTAGAGCTTTCTAGAGAGTGTAGAATTTTCTAGAATGTTGCGAAGAATCCTAGAGAAATCTAGAACTCTCTAGAAGCTTACGGAATAGTGTTGAATCCTCTAGAATATTCTGGATATGTGTGGAACCTTCCAGAAGCTTATGGAAGAGTATGGAAGCATATGAAAGGGAATGGAGAGGTGTAGAGATTCCTTGGAATTCTCTACAATAGGTAGTAGTCATGTGTAGATCATTCTAGAGAACTATTCTCCACCACTCATTATGGAGATGGAGTAATATAAATAGGAGTAGGAGCCTCCATTCCTAACCATCCTAGCAATCCTAGCCAAGAGTGAATCCACTTCTCAGAGTGAGAAAGTTAGAGAGCCTCTTTGAGAGAGAAGAGAGATAGCTTGGGAAGTTCTTATCCTCAAGCTTGAGTGAGGCACCATTGAGTGAGACAATTTTGTAAAATCCTTGTAAATCCTACTATTCTTTTGTATAGTGGAAGAATCTCCATATTGGAGAATTTAAATCGTGTGCTCCCGTTACTACTTTAATTCCTAAGTGCCTATCTTAACTTCACGAAGCGGGAAAAGTCCGAAGTTTTTCCCAACACACTCCACTCTTCTCCCATTCCGCTCTCATTCCAGCATTCCCGTACCTCCTAGACCTTAATTCCCAAATGCTCTATATCCTCATTCCTCATTTCCGCAGTGATCGTCTCCTTGATGCCATCTTCGTCGCATCGGTCGTCTCCATCTCTGTTGCCTATCCATCACCGCCAGATCAGTCACGTCTCCATCACATCGAGTTTCCTCCTTTCTCAACTTCAAATCGTTGATGCCAATCCCGCTGATCTCCTTCTTCATCTAGCGAATGGGATTTGTGGAGACAACGGTGCACATGGCTAGGGTTGTAGAACGTCATCGAGGGGGCAGTTGCAGTTGGAAAAGAAACGCCACCGCCTTTCTCTTCTCCTTTTCTTCTATTTGAGCGCCGCCGCATATGACTGTGAGATAGGGGTGCGGCAGTGTGGCGGTGCGGCAAAATTGGGACGACTATGGTTGTGGGATGGGGTGCGGCGGTTAGTTAGGTGGGCTGGGGCAACAACGGGTAGGGGGCATGGGCAAGGGCTGGGGAGGGCCAGGGCTTGGGAAGGGGTGGGTGGTCAGTGAATAACATAGTCACTATAAAGGCAACCAGTAGTAATTGAACGACATAGTCACTATTAGAGGTCTGGCGGTGGTCACTGAACGATATAGTAGAGGTCACTGGATGACAGTCACTGGGCAAGTTACGGGCAGTCACTGAATTAACACCGGTGGCATTAATTGCGGCGGCATGGTAGTAAGTGGTGGTGGTTGGGTGGCTAACGAGTTGATTAGTGACTATTATGTTTTTGTTGTGTAGTGACTGGATTACTCATTCATAAAACCGGCGTACCCAAAAGTAGGGTGAGCAATTCAGTTTATGGTTCGGTTTTCTTCGGTTTCGATTCAGTTTATGGTTCGGTTTTCTTCGGTTTCAGTTCAGTTTATTCAGGTTGGGAGAATTTATACCAAACTAAAATCACTTGTGTTTCGGTTCGGTTTCGGTTTGGTTTGGTTTGAAGTTCGGTTTACCAAAGTGGAAATTATTAGGTTCTATTTAGTTTGATTTGATTCAGTTTCTTATGTTTATTATTTTATTTGATCAAGTTCTATATTTTAGAATTAAAAAATAAAAGTAGTAGCCCATCTCATCTTCTTTTGTTTATTATTTAAATAAAATATAAAAGGAAATAAAAGATAGAAAAAGAAATTATAATATATTACTACGTATAAATTAAAACTTCTAACATCTTTTCAATCACTAGAAACAGATTCACTTCTCACAAAAAATAAATTTATAGTTGATTATCATTTAAAATATCACATAAAATATTCAAAGAAAACTAAATGTTGTAATATTCACAACTTTATTCAAATGAATCATGTGAAATATATAAATGCAATTTGCTATTGTTATTGCCAAATATCTTTTCATACAAGTAGAGTATAAAACATAACAAATACAAATACTACGTATGTCGTATTAGCTAATCTTATCATAATGAATGTATGAAATGTGTAAAAGTTAAAATGATATATGCTAAATTTGTATTTTTCATGTCTAATTTATTTATATACTAAAGATAAATAGTGAAGAAAAATACAAAGTATTAATATATTACAAGTTGTTCGGTGTTCGGTTCGGTTTACGGTTTTTCGGTTTTAAACCAAACCAAACCAAACCAAACCAAACCATTCGATTTGAGAAAAATTCTACACCAATCGCTTTACTTAAGTAAACCCAAACCAAACCAAACCACCAATTTTCGATTCGGTCAAACCAAACCATTTTGCCCAGTCCTACCAAAAGACACTTATTTCCTTTCCAAACTCATGTTGATGTACGGTAGTCATATATTGGGAATTTTGTTTTTAAAGTAACTTTTCTGTCATTTAGACTTCTAATAGTAATATTAATAATAAAATGCCTTTATAAAATTCTGACCGAAGTGGTTGAATTAATTAGTTCTAATGATTTATGGGGGAAAATTAAAATTCTTTTTATTAATAAAATAAATAAAAAATTATATGTAAAAATAGCTAACACTAGCACAAAAAGTGTTTATTGCAGCATCTATTTTGTAGCATCACATAAATTGCTACTATATAGTATCTATTGTAACATTATTGTACCAAAAAATGTTACAAAAAGATGATAAAAAAGCTACAATACATCTATTGTAACACGAGTCGGATGCAGCATGCTAAAAATGCCGCATTTGATATATTGCGACATTTTTTACACCTATTGCAACATTTTGCGTATGCTACAAAAGCTATATTTTGTTGTAGTGTAAAATGATCTTCTACAGTAATTTCAATCAGTACAACCAGAATAGTAATTTTAACGTTATTTTTTTTATTATTACATAATTTAGTATACGAAATTAAAAAAAAATTAAGCCCAAAATCAAAATCAACAAACGAGGTCGCAATTTTAGGAGGAAAGCTAACAAACTAATTAATTAAGAAATGGACACGAATTAACTTTCACAAAGGAGGACTTACTTTGGCAACCACTACGCAGGTACGGATTCCCGTCATAACCGGGTTTGCATTTGCATCGGTACCCTCTACGGTACGTCGCGTCTTCACAGTCTGTGTTTAAGCCGCGGCATGCATATCCACGCTCTTTTGCAGCAGTTTTACAAGTCTCATTCTCTTCACCGACACCCCAGTTCACGACCAAAGGTACCGACTGAACGCCCAGATATGTAAGATGATCCGGTTTGAAATGATACCATCCTTTTTTGGCCACAAAAGAATGGCTGCAGTTGTTGAATTTCCACACATCTTTTCTGAACCCAAAATCACTGACACCAAAAGAGAACTTCATTAAATCGGCAAGCACCGGAATATCCTCCTGGCAACACCCCACCCCAGTGCAGTTCCAGGCGTCCTTCTTCTCCGGGGGTCCGTCACACGTCACTCCGCACCCAGTTGAGATTTCACCGGCGCTGGTGCTGCTTCTGAAACTGAAAGATCCGTACGCGTTGCAGCCGACAGTGAATAACTTGTTTTCTTCACGGGAAATGCTGAACGGACTCTCCACCTTGAAATGTATAGTACTTTTAGTATTATTCTTCCCCTTCTTCCCGGATTCGTTGTAACAGAGGCTGCTTAAGATCAGCTGGGCTTCCAGCGTCCCTTTGAGAAGGTTAATGGCTGTGAATTCGGTGTCGAAATACCATAACCTTGAGTTTTTGTCGCAGGTGAGTTCAAAACCTTCCAAGGAACACTTGCCCGGCCCGATGCCGAATGGGTACGGTACCGTCACATTCCCACACTTTTCCCGGCATCCGCGAAGAGCTACTCGAGATTTTGTCTCCGCCCCGCTCGCCGCCGTGCCAAATCCAATCAACAGCAACGCAGCTACCGTGGCCAGCTTCATTACCACCCTCATGGCAATCTTCATTTTCTATTTCCTAAACAGTGCAACTATTACTCCGATCCCTCGCTTCTATCCTTCAAAATCTTCGTATTATTATACTCGGTGTCTAATCCTTCCTCTCTTACATAATTAAAGGTCTCTCCTTTCTTCTTCTTTTGGGGTCGTCCTTAAATAATGTAAAAGGGTATCCAAACATCAAACAATCTCATTTTCTTAAAATATGTAAAATTAATGATGACATTTATACAGAGACAACGGGAGTATATATACATACGAGTATATGCATACATCAAAAGTTTATTTATTTGGATTCTAATCATTCTATGCTCAGCCGTGCTTGCGAGGGTGAAGATAATTTTAATTTTATATATAGAATTATAACTTTAAAATTTGCTAAATAGGAGTAGTTTTCCAATTTTACCTTGCTCTGTTTATATACAAGTCATATTAAATTAATAATTAAAACATAAATTTGATAACATAAATTTATTTATAATAAAAATTTAAAAAATAAAAAGCATTTAAATGAATATTATGGAGTAAATAAAATTAATAAAAACAAAAACAAGTTATATAAAATTCGGGGTATATATATATATTACTGTTAGAAAATAGAAGAGGTTGTTGGTTGTATGAGTAGAATAAGTGATTTTAGTGAGGTGTAATGTAGATGATGTGTTTTAGAGGAGAGCTCTTGTCTCTAGAAAAGTAGTATTGTATTGATGTTTCTTGGTTTTGCTTGGTTTGAAAATGAGTACAATGAGTCCTATTTATAGGAGCTAGAGGATCATTCTAGATCCTTATTAAATGCTATGATTCTAGAGTATTCTACATCTATGTCTAATTACTCTAGATTTTATAAGAATTCTCTAGTAGAGAATTTTCTAGAATACTTTCTACCTTTAACTCTCTAGATCATCTCTAGCCTTTTCTACATAGAATATTCTAGATAAATGCATCACTATTTAATACTCCTCCTTGATGCATTTGTCGGTGACTCCAAGCATTCTTCGCAGAAACTGGAATCTGTCTCTTGGCAGGGCCTTCGTGAAAATATCTGCCAATTGTTCTTCTGTTGGGCAGTACTTCATCTCAATATGCCCCTTTGCTTGGACATCTCTCAAGAAGTGATACTTGATATCGATGTGCTTAGTACGATTGTGCTGAATTGGATTTTTAGCCATCGCAATAGCTGACTTGTTGTCGCAAAATATTTGAGTCGCAGAACTTTGCAATTCTCCCATGTCTTCTAATATTCTTTTTAGCCATATAGCTTGGCACGCTGCTCCGGCTGCTGCAACATACTCGGCTTCGGCTGAAGATAGTGCAACAAAATCTTGCTTCTTTGATCCCCATGAGAAAATTCCCGAACCCAGCTTAAATGCGTAACCGGAGGTGCTTTTCATGTCATCTTGAGATCCAGCCCAATCACTGTCGCAATATCCAGTTAGTCGTGAGTCAGGAGTTGTTTTGTACCAAATACCATAATTGATGGTTCCTTGTAGATACCTAAGGAGTCTCTTTGCCGCTCCATAATGAGTCTCAGTTGGACTTTCCATGAACCTCGAGAGCAAACTTGTAGCATACATGATGTCCGGCCTCGTAGCCGTTAAGTAGAGTAGACTCCCAATCAAACTTCGGTAATTGGTTGCATCCGTCTGCTTTGACCCATCTTCTTTCTTCAATTTTTCATTAGGAACCAGTGGAGTAACGACGGCTTTGCAGTCTTGCATTTTAAACTTCTTTAGCATGTCCTTAATATATTTTTCTTGAGATAAGAATATGCCTTCTTCTTCTTGACTTATCTCCATGCCAAGAAAGTAGTGCATTAATCCCAAGTCACTCATCTCAAAAGTGTTCATCATGTCTCTCTTAAATTCTTCAATTAATTTGGAATTATTTCCCGTGACAATTAAGTCATCAACATATAGAGAGACGATGAGAATGTCAGATTTACCTTGGGATTTGATGTATAGTGTAGCCTCGTTCTTACTCCTCCTGAACCCTTGACGGGTGAAGTATCCATCAATCTTGCTATACCACGCTCGTGGAGCTTGTTTGAGCCCGTAAAGCGCTTTCTTTAGACGAAGAACTTTTCCTTCTTCTTTGATGAATCCTTCTGGTTGCTCCACATACACTTCTTCTCGTAGCTCTCCATTTAGAAAGGCTGACTTGACATCTAGCTGATAAATTTTCCATTTCTTCTGAGCAGCAAGAGCTATGAGTGTTCTTATTGTGTCCATCCGGGCAACTGGTGCAAACGTCTCTGTGTAGTCAACTCCCGATATTTGAGCATACCCCTTTGCAACCAGCCTTGCCTTATGCTTCTGAATTGAGCCATCGGGGTTCAATTTTGTTTTATACACCCATTTGACTCCAATAAACTCCTTGTTATGTGGAAGATCTACCATTTCCCAAGTATCATTCTTTTCTATCATTTTGATCTCCTCCTCCATTGCTTTAATCCAAACTTTTTCTTTGGAGGCTTCGGTGTAGCTATTTGGCTCCAAGGAGCAAAAGTTGCATGTTTCATAGATGTCAGTAGACTCATATAGGTCTGCTAGAGTTCTTACCCGAAGAGGTGGGGACTCTGGTGAGGAGTCGTGATTTCTTGATGTATTAGCTTCAAAAGAGGATCTTGGAGTAGACGTGGGGCTTTGTTGATCGTGATTTTCCTCTTCTGGTATTTCCTCTAGTTGGACAGTAGTTGTCTTTCTTTCAACTTTTTCTGTCTCCCAATTCCAAGAGGCTTGCTCGTCAAACTCCACATCTCGACTTGTCACCAACTTCTTTGTCTCGAGATTGTAGATTCGATATCCCTTGGATTTGGAGCTATAGCCAAGGAAGATGCCCTTCTCTGTCTTGTCTTCTAATTTGTGCCTTTTAACAGAGGGAACATGAATGTAGCATATGCTTCCGAAGACCTTCAAATGTTTGGCTGAAGGCTTTTGTCCAGACCATGCCTCAATAGGTGTTTTGTTTAAAACCGCCTTAGTTGGACACCGGTTTAGAAGATAGACTGAAGTATATACTGCCTCTGCCCAGAACGTTTTAGGCATTCCTTTTTCAGCTAACATAGACCTTGCCATCTCCATGACTGTGCGGTTCTTCCTTTCGGATACCCCATTTTGTTGTGGAGTGTATGCTACTGTTAGTTGATGCTCTACACCTTCATCTTCACAGAACTTGTCAAATTCTTTTGAGTTGTATTCGGTACCTCGATCGCTTCTCAACTTCTTGATTTGATGACCACTCTGTTTCTCCACGAAGTTCTTGAATCTCTTGAATATTCTAAAGACTTCGGATTTTTCTTGGAAAAAATACACCCATGTCATCCTAGAGTAATCATCGATGAAGAGTATGAAGTACCTGTTCTTCGAAACTGAAGGCGTGCGCATTGGACCGCAAACATCGGTGTGGACAAGCTCTAGTATCTGTTTGGCTCTCCATGTCTTTTCTGTTGGAAATGGTTGCCTGTGCTGCTTCCCAACCATACATCCTTCACATACTCCTTCTTTTTCATCCAGTAGAGGCATGTCTCTCATCATCTTCTTTAGGTGTAGTAATCTCAAGGCATTGAGATTGAAGTGCCCAAATCTTCGATGCCATAGACTCGTATCACTCAGTTGAGCCACCATCGCCTTTTGTGGATATTGCCATTGAATAGGAAAATTTCTATTATTTCCCATTTTTACTTCAGCAATTTCTTGATTATTGTTCTTGTCATAAATTCGGCAAGAATTTTTCTCAAAGTGCAAGGCATATCCACTTTCCATCATTTGGCCAACACTTAGTAGATTTTGTGCAAGGCGTGGCACTAGGAGAACGTTTCTAATAAAGCGCGTACCTTTCTTTGTATCTATGACAATGGTACCTTTCCCCTTTGCCTCCACCAAATCGCCATTGCCCATCTTGACTTTTGTCTTGATAGAGGTATCTAAGTCATGGAAGATGGTCTCGTTGGATGTCATGTGATTGCTGCACCCACTATCGATGTACCACTCTTCTTCTTTTGCTTCTATGGCTGAGTGACATGCGTAGAACATGTACTCCTTCTCCTTAAAATCTTCAGAATAGTTGGCCTGATAGTTTCTTCTATCTCTGCAATCTTTTTCTTCATGCCCGAACCTCTTGCAATTTCTGCATTGTGGCTTTCCTCGATGGTAGCAATCTTTCTCTAAGTGATTAGTCTTCTTGCATATTTTGCATGGTGGAAAGTTCGTCTTCCTCTCCTTGTTGTTAGAATTCCCATCTTTATGTGGTTTAAAGTTTTCACCATTTCTCGAGTGATTCCTTTTAATGTTGAGCTTAGACTGGAAGGCACTTTCTAATGAACTTTCGTGTCGTCTATTTAGCCTTTGCTCACGTGCTTCTAGCGACCCCATTAATTCAGTGATGGACATTTTTGATAGATCTTTTGACTCCTCAATAGCCGAAACTACTGGATCATATTTTTCAGGGAGACTGATTAGGACCTTCTGGATTATTCTCTCGTCGGTTATGTTTTCTCCAAGAGTTCTCATTTCGTTGACTATATGTATAACCCGAGAGAAATAATCTTTTGCCATTTCAGAATCTCTCATCTTTAAATTTTCGAGCTCTCTTCTTAAACTTTGTAATTTAATAGTTCTAACTTTCTCATTTCCTTGAAATTCCTCCTTAAGAATATCCCAAGCTTCTTTTGCCGTAGTAGCACGAATTATTCTCGGGAAAATAGTATCACAAACGGATTGTTGAAGAAGATAGAGAGCTCTAGCATTTTGCTGTTTTTGTTTCTTACGTACCTCGGAAGTTGATGCGTCGTCGCTTCCTTTTTCCGGCATGATGATTCCTTCTTCAACAATATCCCAGAGATCATGTGATTCTAGGCAAGTCTTCATACGGACACTCCAATAGTCATAGCTTTCTCCATTGAACATCGGAGTTGATACCGAGAAGCTTGATGTCGTCATAATGCCCGCTTATGATCGAACAAGCTCTGATACCACTTGTTAGAAAATAGAAGAGGTTGTTGGTTGTATGAGTAGAATAAGTGATTTTAGTGAGGTGTAATGTAGATGATGTGTTTTAGAGGAGAGCTCTTGTCTCTAGAAAAGTAGTATTGTATTGATGTTTCTTGGTTTTGCTTGGTTTGAAAATGAGTACAATGAGTCCTATTTATAGGAGCTAGAGGATCATTCTAGATCCTTATTAAATGCTATGATTCTAGAGTATTCTACA